ATTGCCTTACTTTGAAAAATTAAAGAAAAATACCACAATAAAACTGTTAAAAACTGTTATAAGAGTAAACTCTTTCCAATTGACTGACTCATAGCCCAAAGAAACATTATTAGAATCTTGTAATTGTAAAAGATGGCGTCGTTTATTCCAGAATTAAATTCATAACAAATAAAAATATTCGCATTTTCCAGCAGAATCCCATGTACTTCTAAAGTTCAGTATCTTACTACTTCATTCTATAAAATTATAAACGTGATTTTTCGTTTAACTTCAGATTTAGGTAAACAATTTCTGTAGAAACTATAATTGGCAGAACTCAGCGTACAAACGGACGTACGTTACACGGCTGACAGCCCGTCCTTGGGGTGTTTTTTACCGGCTAATAGCCGTATGGAACTAAACGGGTGACACTTACGCTTCGACAGCCTGACTTTGGCCTAGAATTTCAGCGGTTTCCATATCACAAGTTTTTTTACTTTGTGTAAACTTTACATTCTTTATATTCTCTGTATTTTTCGCAAAGATGTTTTAGTTTGTGGTTGCACTGTTTAGCAGTACGTAAAATCCCCTAGTCCGACAAGGCCGCTGAAAGTTTACCATAAATCACATTGTTACGAATACTGTAGTTGTCCAATTCTTCTGGACATTTTCTTCACCCCAAAGGTTTAGCAAAGCTTCAGTTTTCTCATCTGTCCAGTTCAAATTCAAATTCCATGTTTATTTGCTTTTCCCGCCAAAAAGCCAAGCTTGGGCCTGGCCTAGGCCACCTGTTATGATGGGCCTAGATTTCCTGGCCTAGGCCAGGTTAAAGTGTGTTTACACTAGGAAAATCTAGGCCAAAGCCAGGCCTAGGCCAGGCTCAGGCTTGTAGTGTAAACACGGCTTTAGAGTGAGGATGTGTTGATAAAGAAGAAGAAAAAACCTGACAACGGAAGACGCACTAAAGCGCGTGAATGATCTTTTAACGGACCATCCTTTGTCAACATCGAAAAGAAGAAAAAGACGAAATCCTGTTCGATTTAAAATAACAACTCATCCTAGAACAGGCCTTCGTAAATTTGAAGGAACGTATGACCCGTCTAGAAGAACCAGAAGCCAAGGTTAGTTCTTTTAGTTGTAGAAAAGTGTTTACGGCAATACAGGGTAGTCAAGTAAGCATGCAATCAGTCCTTCTGCTGTTCGTCCAATATACTGTATCGTATGGTTTATGATATCTGCACCGACTTAGTGACTGTCTAACTCTTCTGACTGATCTTTTTCATTTAGTTTCTAACGAAGGAAGTGATATCACGTTTGAGCCTGGTAATCTTCCAAATAAAGCTCTCGTTTCAGGTATGCATTGTATACAGTGATACCATGGATGATTGAAGAACTTTAAAAGAGTGCTGATATCCTTGTTGATACAGTGTTTGATTTTATTATAATGATTCTCACTGTGGCCTTACAAATGGCTTTTCCATTTGATCTGATATTTGCTTTATAATGACTTTAATAACCAAGGATCGTGTATGAGACTATATTTCTCTCATTTACAGTCAGTACATTCATGTCACAAAATATCAAAATATGAATGTGTGTCAGTGTAAAGATGGCTGTAAACAGCTGTGGTATACCACACTTGTATTTATGAATACAGTAGTTCACTTTGTAATAAGGGATAATGAAAATCAATCAAACAAGCTATACAGGAATTTAATTGCTTAGTTATGGAATCAATAAGAAAACATTTTTACCTTGAACTTATACACCCCAATTAACATCATTTCTATTGTTTTCAGCACAAATAATTTTCTGCATTCATGTTCTTACTGGATAATCTGATATTTAATATTTATTAAGTTAAATAAAAATCTTATAATTTAGATGAAGAAACTCTGCTTACCGCAGTTATTAGATGCAAAACATTATTGGTTTTTCTTGTTATTACTAAGAAAGTATATACCTGGGAAGAACAAATGACAGTTTTTCATGAAGACTGGGCCAAAGCAAGACACATAATATTTGTGTTATTTCTAGTGAACATTTACAACCAGAGAAATGTTCCTTTTGCCTTGTGAAAGATGCACATATACGTACGATGTCACCAGTGTGGTCTATCATTTATTCTTTGTGAAGTTTGTGATGAGAAAATACATTCTGGTTCAGCTTTTCATGACCAAGAAATTTGGAATGGGAAATTTTTTGACTTGGCTTCACCAATGGAAAAATGGGATCATTGTTCAAAGATTGAATCAGATTTATATATGCATTCTTTCACTTTATTTGCAACCTTAACTCATCCATGATGAACACCCTTCGAAATTCCGTTCTGGCTAACACTTGTAGTCAACTTTAGTCTGTCTAACTTAATGAGTTACGAAGCAGGCACTAACAGTACTGTATGACATGAATTGCTTTTACATATTGTAATTTTATTATGTTTGTTTGTTTAGAGAGAATATTGCCTTTTGAAAATGAAAACTGCCCTTCATGTAAGACACCAGAATCTTTGATATTTACCTCCAAAAAGGAAACTGTAGCTGTCATAATCACTATACAGGGTGTATAAAAAAAGTAGACAATTTTGAAATGTTTAGAAAACTATAAATTTATCAAAATATCTCATAGATTTGTGCTAGTATGGGTACTTTGGCATCTTCAGGTCATTCTAACACTAAAAACAAACCGAAAAATTAACCTCGAAAAATAGAAGAGCGGTTTGTGGAAGCATCATTTTGAATGGCTTGTGCAAACATGAATGAGAGGTTTAAAATCCAATTTGAATTCAAGGGCTGAACGTTTGGGTATTTGTTTACAAAGAATCGAAATTTCAGAAATTTTGATGAAAATTAAGTCAGCCGCGCAACTGCGTAAACATGGGCTTTTTTCCGTTTAACTCGCAGCTTGAGTAACTCTTTTTACAACACCATTGTTAGCTTAATCACCCGAGCAATCACTCATGCATGAAATCATTCGTGCATGAAAAAAGTTACTCAAGCTGCGAGTTAAGGTTAAATGAGTTAAGGTTGCAAATAAAGTGAAAGAATGCATATATAAATCTGATTCAATCTTTGAACAATGATCCCATTTTTCCATTGGTGAAGCCAAGTCAAAAAATTTCCCATTCCAAATTTCTTGGTCATGAAAAGCTGAACCAGAATGTATTTTCTCATCACAAACTTCACAAAGAATAAATGATAGACCACACTGGTGACATCGTACGTATATGTGCATCTTTCACAAGGCAAAAGGAACATTTCTCTGGTTGTAAATGTTCACTAGAAATAACACAAATATTATGTGTCTTGCTTTGGCCCAGTCTTCATGAAAAACTGTCATTTGTTCTTCCCAGGTATATACTTTCTTAGTAATAACAAGAAAAACCAATAATGTCTTGCATCTAATAACTGCGGTAAGCAGAGTTTCTTCATCTAAATTATAAGATTTTTATTTAACTTAATAAATATTAAATATCAGATTATCCAGTAAGAACATGAATGCAGAAAATTATTTGTGCTGAAAACAATAGAAATGATGTTAATTGGGGTGTATAAGTTCAAGGTAAAAATGTTTTCTTATTGATTCCATAACTAAGCAATTAAATTCCTGTATAGCTTGTTTGATTGATTTTCATTATCCCTTATTACAAAGTGAACTACTGTATTCATAAATACAAGTGTGGTATACCACAGCTGTTTACAGCCATCTTTACACTGACACACATTCATATTTTGATATTTTGTGACATGAATGTACTGACTGTAAATGAGAGAAATATAGTCTCATACACGATCCTTGGTTATTAAAGTCATTATAAAGCAAATATCAGATCAAATGGAAAAGCCATTTGTAAGGCCACAGTGAGAATCATTATAATAAAATCAAACACTGTATCAACAAGGATATCAGCACTCTTTTAAAGTTCTTCAATCATCCATGGTATCACTGTATACAATGCATACCTGAAACGAGAGCTTTATTTGGAAGATTACCAGGCTCAAACGTGATATCACTTCCTTCGTTAGAAACTAAATGAAAAATATCAGTCAGAAGAGTTAGACAGTCACTAAGTCGGTGCAGATATCATAAACCATACGATACAGTATATTGGACGAACAGCAGAAGGACTGATTGCATGCTTACTTGACTACCCTGTATTGCCGTAAACACTTTTCTACAACTAAAAGAACTAACCTTGGCTTCTGGTTCTTCTAGACGGGCCATACGTTCCTTCAAATTTACGAAGGCCTGTTCTAGGATGAGTTGTTATTTTAAATCGAACAGGATTTCGTCTTTTTCTTCTTTTCGATGTTGACAAAGGATGGTCCGTTAAAAGATCATTCACGCGCTTTAGTGCGTCTTCCGTTGTCAGGTTTTTCTTCTTTTTTAAACGCACAGGCAACGCCATTTCGACGACGGTCAATCAAAACCAGTTCACTGATCAAAACTACACACAACTCGTCGTCGGCGATGTTGATAACAAAAATATTAGCATGTCCTGCGCATACGTTTCCGAATTACAGTATGTTTTGCGCATGACTTGAATTCATGATTACATTGTATTCATTCACATACAGTTGCACTGGATGTGATCAACAGTTCTCACCATTAACACTGGAGAAGATAATTAATGAAGGGTATTGGCCAGGTGGCTCAAAGAATCTTAATTACATCTTCTGTGAAGATGTGTTCAGAGTTTGGGATTCACTGCGAAAGTATATGCCAGGCACATCTGAGACAGCATTTCGTAGGTCCTTGGCCTCCATATCTAGTGAAAAGGGCAGGGTTAGTAAATCATACTTAGGTCACTGTATATAGATCAATCAAATTTTGTACCTGTAGTGGTCTAAAACTGTGCATAATCTTCTTGATCAATTTTTAGTCCGGTATCATCAACACATCAGTGTTTCATCGTGCATTCAAAGAATGGTGTTTTGCCATGCATGAAGTTGACATCTTACAAGAAAAACAATGGGCAAATTGCCCATCATGTTTTAGATCCCAACATTAGTGTCATGTTGATGGAAACGCTAAACTTTATAGATACAACAGTGTGCCAAGGTATTGTATTGTTGCCTGGCTAAAATCATACTGACCAAATGTCTATGATTTATGTAATTTGTTTATAGAGGTGAAAGAAAATGCTACTATGAAAATACATTCATTGAAGATGATGAACTGGTAGAGGAGCACTTGAACAATGTTTATTCCAACAACTCAGCTAAGGTATGATCATGATTGTGAGGAATTATGGAGAATTGTGCAATGATAACAGTTTTGTGTACAATAATAATATACCAAAACTGCATAAGAGTTATACTTATAAATCATATTCAATCCTCCTAGGGTCATTCAAGTAATTCCTATTGTGGTTCCTCTCATTGGAAAGCTGCAAGGAATACGGTCAACCGCCAATCCAAACTTGATGAAACTGGTCTTGTTGTAGCAGGCTGTAGACATTCTCTGGCTCAATCTGCTGTGAATATGCATCAAGGTGAACTGTATGGATACACACATTATTTTGCAAATCAACCGACTAATTCACCATAAAGTTAAGTTCTTATGGCAAGATGTGATTTGTAAGTACTGGCCTTGGTTTATTTCAACGATTTGTCACCTGATGAAGCCTTTTTGATGGCACCAGCATTATCTATCATGCATGGTAAAGCTCATGTTTGGTCTTGCCAGGTATTTTAATAAAACAAATGTTAACCAATTTTAATTAGGAGAATCATTCAAATTGCATACTTATAATGTTCATACCTTTCAGGTCACATGGGGTGGACGTTGGCAAATTGGAAGTGGTTACACCGTTACACTGCAGGTGAAGAGGTTGAGCAAATCAACAGCTACATCTCGAGATTGGGATCAACAACAAAATACATGCATGCAGCAGGTACGTAGCTGTTCGAATTTTTAGGTTTCCTGTAAAATGTATTGATTGCGTGTGCATTTGCTGTGGTTTATTGATTATAATGTCTAAATGTTATATTTTTCATCGTTTTCAACACTTTGTTACATTAGACTACTTACCTCTTAATTTCTGAAGACTTACATTTGCCATTGACGGATTAAGCTTTTTCATTTATATACGACAGGTCGCAATGAAGCATTAACGGAGCATGTTCTTCACTGGAACAAGTTAAAGATTCTTAAGCTGCCAATCACTCTTTGCAAGAAATATGCTTATGTATGTTTGTTTATTCGTAAATTTTATTCAATAGTTTTTCTCAGTAAACTAAAAATAGACTTTTGATATTTATAATTCAATTCTCTTGTGACAGGTAAAGAAGTTAATAGAAGAAAATAAGAAGGAACTTGATGAGCTGGTAAACGAGCTAAATCTTTCAGCGCATCATGAAGAGTTCGGTAATTGGGCTGCTGAAATAACAGCGTGTGGGAACGTACGTAATTATACGCATTTTATTCATTTCAACTTGCTTGCTTCAAACGCGTGAGGTGTATCAGGTGGAATGTTTAAAACTCGCAAACTACTATACAGGCAGTAGCGTGTACATGCTCTACAATGCCGGTTATAGGGCCTAATTCCACGGGCGCCTTTTCTCCGCGAAATGCGAAATATTTCGCCTGTTTCTTTTGAATTTCGACCACTTGAAAAAATTAACTCTGCTTCATTGCTCACAATTCAAAAGAAGCAGGCAAAATATTTCGCCTTTCGCTTGAAATTTTAGCCCGTAAAATTAGGGCTATAGACTAACTATAGTTACCTGTACTTACATTTGTGTTTCCAGGGTCGAAGTTTGAGATGACGAAGGTGAAGGTGATCTTGTTTCTTACTATGAGCTGTATACCGAAGTGCGCGAAGCTATCGCTTTGAAGCCGTTCCTCGATGTTGCTGGTGATGAAGCTGAAACAGAAATAAACGACGGGAATTCAGGATTGTATGCTCAAGCCTTGGCAAAACATCAGGAAATGGATAAGAAAGAAAAGAAATTAAGAAACCTTGAATCGACTCTATGTATAGTTGGAAATGAGTTAGGGAAGCAACAAGCCCTGCAAGAGGGGAAAAATCTTTTGGCTGTCAGAAAAAGAATTTCTATTCGCGAAGAGATTGAAATGTTATGCTTTTCTATTTCACAGCGAAAGAAAAATATTAGCCGCCTAGCAGGTTTAAGTATACATTTATTTTAACAGGAACTTTAATAACAGAAACTTTAAACTGTGGTCGTAGTTAATAGAAATGTTTTAAATGAAAGTATGTATTTAATATACTGTTGGAATGATTCAGATTCGTCTAAACAAAGGGCTAGATTGCGTAGCAAAAATGCTCTGGAAAAGAAAAAACTTAGCGATTCCATCACGCAATATAATGTGGTAAATCGGTTGTTAGAAACTGATCCTGAAGAAGATGATATCACATCTGAGACTGCTTTGGATGGTAATTTTCCTTGGATTGACCCACAAGACAACAGAGGTACTGTACATAAATACAAACATACATACTTACATACATTATAATTATCAGGTAATTGCAACTCCAATTTGGGACTGTATTGTAAATCAGTTGTATGCGAACATTTAGAGAAAAACTGTTTGTTGCGAAGAACTGTATGTTTATATTTATAGTGCTTATATTTCGGAAAATTATGTTTCTCACACGATTTAGCGGCGCTATCTTTACATACTTCTATTAACTCGATTGCTCTGAAATTTTAGAATAATACTTGAATTGGCAAATTAATCAAGTGTGCAATGTTTCATGCAATAAATCCATCTAGAAGTTTGTCTTCGGCACTAGATGCCTGTCAAAATACAGTTTTTCTACACCCCTATAACAAAATCGATACCGATATCACACATCACATACTTCTATTAACTCGATTGCTCTGAAATTTTAGAATAATACTTGAATTGGCAAATTAATCAAGTGTGCAAAGTTTCATGCAATAAATCCATCTAGAAGTTTGTCTTGTTTCACAGTTCGGAAACTTTTAGTAACTTTCTTTGTTGAAGGGCATAAGTCCTACCGTTATGTTATTATATTAGGGAGTTCATATTCACGACGCGGCCAGCTCGGCGACGCGCTTGCAAAGCAATTAAACAAAGAAACTCCACACGCTGTTTGATAGCTTATATGAAACTGCAATATCAGCTAGATAGGTTCTTTAGCGCAATTGAAACGTTGTGTGTTTATGTCAAAGTCCTGGCTGCATAACCACATCGTAGATCGTAAATTCCCTTTGTCACAAGTTGATTCCATAATTTCTTACACAATCATTTGAAAAGGTTCACGAGAGTTTGGCACTTTGTGGTTACAATTTTGGTGTCGTTCTGGTAGCTACTAAAGATTGAGGGTGCGTCAACGGCACCCTAGCATACCCAATTATGCCACTGGCTTAGTGTTAGGGTTAGAATATACAGGGTGTGTAAAAAAACTGCATAATAATTCCAAGGGGCCTACGATCTTTTGTTATTGACTAGAAGCGAACATATATGAATATTAAGTGTTGTAGTTTTTTTTATACACCCTGTAGGAATAAGTAGGACGTTTGACGGATGTTTCAGATGTTGTAGTTATAACTATATCGTATTAATCCGTCACGTTCACTCAATGAGTGCAAGCACTGTAGCACATTTTTAAGGAAAGAATCACGATATCAAGTAGCAGGAAGATAGAGAGCTATTACGACAGTTGCTGAGCTTATTAGTACACTAAAAGGTGATAGGGTTTTAAGCCTCCAAGATACGAGCCGATACAGATATGATCGAAAACAAGCATGAACGTTCATCACAATTCATTATGTTTGAAACGTACAGAAACCCGTGAAGTAGTAAACATGAACATCTTCTCGCATAAATAACAATAATGAATGTTCTAACCATATTAATGCTATTTGAACAGTTTTAATTTTAGAACATGTTTACATGGAGCGAGTTATCACAGCTAGGCGAGGTAAAAAGCGCGTCACATCAAAGACTTAACATGATTAGTTCTAGTTTTCACCTCGCCTAGCCGGGATAACTCGCTGCATCATGATAAAAAGGCCCTGTTTATATGAGAGGCGAGATGGGAGGGATGATGCCGTATTGAACAATAATGTAAACGCAGGATGAAAAAATTCTGTCCTGGCAATCGTCCAGTCTCGCCTCTCATATAAACAGGGTCTTAGTCAAGATTTATCCGATCAAGGTAGTAGTATAGAGAATAGGGGTTCTGGAGCAGGCGGTGCAGGCGGTGTACGAGGCACCGCCGATGATGTCGTCGAGTCTTAAATATTTTAATTTATTCACAGGTTTGCGAGGAGATCCTTCTCGTATCAAACATATTGTTTACAAAAGGTAATTTGTGAGCGCTACGGTGTGCGCTACTCCCACGCGCAGTTATGAGTCAGTTGATGACTTTGTCCGAACGCGTTTATGCATAAATTACTGGTAATAGGTTTTAATGACAGGACGAACCTGAACATGTTCGCCTCCAAACAAAGAGTAGCTTGCACATAAATATCGCACATCGAAGTATCGAACAGAAATTGCCCAAGAAAACACAGCAATGAAGTGCTTACATGGAGTGCCTGCGACCGCAATCTCTACCAAGAGAGGAAAGTTTTGGGTTTGTAACAAGAACAACCCTTGTTAACATTAACAGTTGTACTAATTAACATTAATATTACAGTTCAGCATAAATATAGAGATCATCGGACACGTGACCAAAAGAAACGTTAAAAGAAGCGTAGACAATATGTCGTCTGATTTTTAAAACACATGTTTGTTATGTTTGTATATAAATTGAAATAAACCATTAAAGAATAAAGTTAACAGGTTATGGGCCCAGGAAGCTCAAGACGGCCAAGAACGTAGCTATGGACAGTCAAACGATAAAATGGTTAGTTTTCGATGGAAAAGCTGAGAATTATCCAGCGTGGAGTACGAAATTTGTCGCGTACATGCAAACAAAAGGTCTGTACAAAGCACTTCTCGGGAAAGAGGAATTGCCAGCAGAAATAGCACCGTTAGCGGAGGATGCTTCGAATGAACAAAAGACCGAATGGGAGACAAAACTACAAGAAAGAAAGGAACAAATCGAGAAAATTTACGAAAGAAATAACACGGTATGGTGTCACATTGCCCTAGCTCTCGATAATAACAGTCTCTTGTATATACGACACGACTGCCTGTCACCGGAGGGTACTGGAGACGGAGGAAAAGCGTGGCGTCTGCTACAACAAAGGTATTCTAATGTCGACAAACCAACTGTTGTAAGCTTAGTTCGTCAAATATCCCGAATACAATTGGGCGAAAATGAAAAATTAGCAGAATATTTCATCCGAGCACAAGAACTTATGTCTCGACTAACCGAAGCTGGTGAGAAAATATCAGAAACACTGTTTAATGCCCTAGTTATAAACGGACTTCCAGAAAAGTATGAGCACTTTGTGGTACAAGAAAGCTTCAACCCAGCAAGTAATTTCACCGAGCTGCGAACACGATTACAAAACTATGAAGAAAGTCGACAACAAAGAAACCTAGATGAAGATAGCGCCGTTGC